TGCTTCATCCCGCCCTTCTTGCTCCTCATGTTGACGCTTGTTTTGTGAAACACGGTCAGTGATGTCCTCGTTAATGTTTCGCTCTGGTTCAAACTGAAAAGGCTGAACAGATGACATGTTGATGTCGCTGAACAGTCCCTACAGGGTCCCAAAGCTGCAGGTGCAACCGAGGTACAACCATATGACGTCACTACCCAGAGTGCATTGCGACACTAACAACAATGGCGACCTACGAGTAAAACTATTTTTAGAAATTTTATAAAAATAAAGACATTAACAAGGTTTTTTACACCACTTTAGTATAACAGATACTAACATTTATCTTTTAAGAACCACAAGGTTTTGTAACCTGGGTTCCTTTTAAAACCTAATTCTAAATCGGTTTAGTTGGATTAAAGGTGCAGTCCACGGGATCCGTGCCACCTGTCTGGTGCACGCTCATGACGCTTTTGTTGGTCACTGATTACAATCAAAGCGCACAATTTACTAAACTGAGGCAACGGATTGCTTAAGGTCTCAAAATGATTTCCCCTGCTGGGCTCTGTAGGTAGGTGGCCTATCTCTGCCTAGTTCCCTCACAGCCTCAATGTTACACCAGACCCTTTGGCAATGAGACGACACACAATTAGAAGTGAAGTCAGAAGACCGAGTGAACTGGTTCCAGATACAGGATGCTACTTTGGGAGTTAAACTAATTATTTCTCTGGTCTCCTGGGAATAATACACAGAGAGAAATAGTTCTGCTGTGCAGCCAAATCCAACTGGAGAGGAGAGCCAAGAGCAGAGACACCTGGTTCCTCCAGACCAGAAAACAATTCTCACACAAGAAAATAACAAGATTTAGTTACATTATAAACTAGAATCACTGAGAGGAGACGGGGTTAAGAGCTTGAATTTATCAGCAACAGAGAATATTTCCGGAGTTAAATCAGGAAAGAAAGGTGAAATACGTCCATTTCCAAGCTGATTTTTTGATTTGCAGAGAAAAACTTATAAACTCTGGCTCTAGTGTGGAAACGTTTTAGAGAGGTGGATAGCACACCCTGTGGCATGGTTAAATTGTCACGATAAGTAGTTGTTTGGTAAGACCCAAGTGCAGAAATCCAGGAAGCGGCTTGAGGAATAATCCTCAAGTGGGGAGACCAAAACGGCTCAGAGAGCCAACACAGGAAACAAGCACAAGAAGTATACACAGGTAGCAAACACACACCGGACCAACAACCAGACGAGACAGGACCGACCGGGGTATAAACACACACCAGACGAGACAGGACCGGGGTATAAACACACACCAGACGAGATAGGACCGGGGTATTAACACACACCAGACGAGATAGGACCGGGGTATAAACACACACCAGACGAGACAGGACCGGGGTATAAACACACACCAGACGAGACAGGACCGGGGTATAAACACACACCAGACGAGATAGGACCGGGGTATAAACACACACCAGACGAGACAGGACCGGGGTATTAACACACACCAGACGAGACAGGACCGGGGTATAAACACACACCAGACGAGACAGGACCGGGGTATAAACACACACCAGACGAGACAGGACCGGGGTATTAACACACACCAGACGTGACAGGACCGGGGTATTAACACACACCAGACGAGACAGGACCGGGGTATTAACACACACCAGACGAGACAGGACCGGGGTATTAACACACACCAGACGAGACAGGACCGGGGTATAAACACACACCAGACGAGATAGGACCGGGGTATAAACACACACCAGACGAGATAGGACCGGGGTATTAACACACACCAGACGAGACAGGACCGGGGTATAAACACACACCAGACGAGATAGGACCGGGGTATAAACACACACCAGACGAGACAGGACCGGGGTATAAACACACACCAGACGAGATAGGACCGGGGTATTAACACACACCAGACGAGACAGGACCGGGGTATTAACACACACCAGACGAGACAGGACCGGGGTATTAACACACACCAGACGAGATAGGACCGGGGTATTAACACACACCAGACGAGATAGGACCGGGGTATTAACACACACCAGACGAGATAGGATCGGGGTATTAACACACACCAGACGAGATAGGACCGGGGTATTAACACACACCAGACGAGATAGGACCGGGGTATTAACACACACCAGACGAGACAGGACCGGGGTATTAACACACACCAGACGAGACAGGACCGGGGTATTAACACACACCAGACGAGATAGGACCGGGGTATTAACACACACCAGACGAGATAGGACCGGGGTATTAACACACACCAGACGAGACAGGACCGGGGTATTAACACACACCAGACGAGATAGGACCGGGGTATTAACACACACCAGACGAGACAGGACCGGGGTATTAACACACACCAGACGAGACAGGACCGGGGTATTAACACACACCAGACGAGACAGGACCGGGGTATAAACACACACCAGACGAGATAGGACCGGGGTATTAACACACACCAGATGAGACAGGACCGGGGTATAAACACACACCAGACGAGATAGGACCGGGGTATTAACACACACCAGACGAGACAGGACCGGGGTATAAACACACACCAGACGAGATAGGACCGGGGTATTAACACACACCAGACGAGATAGGATCGGGGTATTAACACACACCAGACGAGATAGGACCGGGGTATTAACACACACCAGACGAGATAGGACCGGGGTATTAACACACACCAGACGAGACAGGACCGGGGTATTAACACACACCAGACGAGATAGGACCGGGGTATTAACACACACCAGACGAGACAGGACCGGGGTATTAACACACACCAGACGAGATAGGACCGGGGTATTAAAACACACCAGACGAGATAGGACCGGGGTATTAACACACACCAGACGAGATAGGACCGGGGTATTAACACACACCAGACGAGACAGGACCGGGGTATTAACACACACCAGACGAGATAGGACCGGGGTATTAACACACACCAGACGAGACAGGACCGGGGTATTAACACACACCAGACGAGACAGGACCGGGGTATAAACACACACCAGACGAGATAGGACCGGGGTATAAACACACACCAGACGAGATAGGACCGGGGTATTAACACACACCAGACGAGACAGGACCGGGGTATAAACACACACCAGACGAGATAGGACCGGGGTATAAACACACACCAGACGAGACAGGACCGGGGTATAAACACACACCAGACGAGATAGGACCGGGGTATTAACACACACCAGACGAGACAGGACCGGGGTATTAACACACACCAGACGAGACAGGACCGGGGTATTAACACACACCAGACGAGATAGGACCGGGGTATTAACACACACCAGACGAGATAGGACCGGGGTATTAACACACACCAGACGAGATAGGATCGGGGTATTAACACACACCAGACGAGATAGGACCGGGGTATTAACACACACCAGACGAGATAGGACCGGGGTATTAACACACACCAGACGAGACAGGACCGGGGTATTAACACACACCAGACGAGACAGGACCGGGGTATTAACACACACCAGACGAGATAGGACCGGGGTATTAACACACACCAGACGAGATAGGACCGGGGTATTAACACACACCAGACGAGACAGGACCGGGGTATTAACACACACCAGACGAGATAGGACCGGGGTATTAACACACACCAGACGAGACAGGACCGGGGTATTAACACACACCAGACGAGACAGGACCGGGGTATTAACACACACCAGACGAGACAGGACCGGGGTATAAACACACACCAGACGAGATAGGACCGGGGTATTAACACACACCAGATGAGACAGGACCGGGGTATAAACACACACCAGACGAGATAGGACCGGGGTATTAACACACACCAGACGAGACAGGACCGGGGTATAAACACACACCAGACGAGATAGGACCGGGGTATTAACACACACCAGACGAGATAGGATCGGGGTATTAACACACACCAGACGAGATAGGACCAGGGTATTAACACACACCAGACGAGATAGGACCGGGGTATTAACACACACCAGACGAGACAGGACCGGGGTATTAACACACACCAGACGAGACAGGACCGGGGTATTAACACACACCAGACGAGATAGGACCGGGGTATTAAAACACACCAGACGAGATAGGACCGGGGTATTAACACACACCAGACGAGATAGGACCGGGGTATTAACACACACCAGACGAGATAGGACCGGGGTATTAACACACACCAGACGAGATAGGACCGGGGTATTAACACACACCAGATGAGACAGGACCGGGGTATTAACACACAGCAGGAACAGGGAATGAGTGTGTTGAACGGTGATTACTGAATGGGAGGCAGGTGTGACCAATGAGCAGAATGAGGAGACAAAACACAGAAAACAGGAGGCAACTAACTAAAATACGGAGTATAGTAAACTAAGATGACGCTAGAAGGCTTAACAAAAGCAAGTAAAATTATTTAACAAAAGAACAAAAACCACTGAGAACTGAAACAATTCTAAGGATAACTGAGGACAACTGATTTCACCGGGGATCTACATCACAACTAGGGGAGGAGACAATAAACTGGGACATATCAGAGGTGGAAGATAAACAGAATGGAGCTAAATACATACAAATGAGACAGGAGACACAAGGAAACACAGGTGGACGGATGGAAGGGAAGGACATTGGAGCTGGGGACATGAGGTCACAGAACCTGACAAACACGAATTTAAGCCACATTTTCAAACTTAAAAGCCCTCGCACGCACACCCAACCATGATCTATCAAATAAACTCAAACATCAATAACACAATGACTCAGAAAACCCCAAAAAGAAATCAAATCTTGCTCCATAATCTCATCCAGGAAAGTAAAATGCTGCTGAGCTGTGGATAAGGGGAACACACCAGGCTCAGCTTCTTTCAATTACTTCTAAAAGGTAGAATAACCAGGGTCAGTTGGTACAACAAGTGGGGAAAAAATCAACAACCACAGTTGTGTGTACTTACCGAACCATGCCTGCTGGTCTCCCTGCACCTCTATAGCCAGACCAAAATCTGCCAGCTTAACCGCTGCCCCCTTCAACTTGCTGGCTAGGAGCAGATTCTCTGGCTTGAATTAGAACAACAAAGACTTGTCAGCATAGTGATGATAAAGTTAAAATGGCTTAAATGTGTAGAATTGTTAGGCTACTAGTTAGTATGTGAAACTACAGGAGGTTTAGTAACACAAAACAAGATGGCATTGGTGTTTGGGAGTCCAAAAGGCTCAGAAGCTCAGTGAAAGTTTACCAAAGAAGCCGCGTCAGAGTCAGAGTCCAGCTCAAGCCACTGCAGACTCAGAGGGAACCATGTTTCATTTGCATCAGGAACCATTACTCTACCACCCATGCAGCAGGTGAAACACTGGTAGGCTGGAGTAAAAACGGACTCAAACAGGGAAAGGTGGACAGCGACTCGTGTTCAAAGCAGCAGGATATTAAGCAGTTTCTCTGGTGGTCCCAGGCAGAAAATGAGTCCAAATAACTAAAGAATGAGGTTCATCTGATCACAGACACTTCTGTTCACATTACAAAACAATTACACTCAACTACGGGCTCCACGTGGAAACGACTGTTCCAACATTTCAAATCCCAGGAACACTTGTGGTCTATTTGAACTGAAAGTCAAAACATTATGACCACACTCAAAATAATTATGTGACATTGTTACTGGTATTAATCCGATCAGTTGCATAAGTCTGGGCTTCCTCCCCGGGCTGCCACCTTATCATGGTGGAGGGGTTTTAGTGCCCCAATGATCCTAGGAGCTAAGCTGTCTGAGGCTTTACGCCTTTGGCAGGGTCACCCATGGCAAACAGCCCATAGACCCCTCATGACGAACAATACAAATGAAATATTCCCTTGATCAGACTGCGGGTCACCAGGGCCCCCCTCTGGAGCAAGGCCTGGAGGGGGGACACATAGGCGAGCACCTGGTGGCCGGGCTTTCGCCGATGAAGCCTGGCTGGGCACAGCCCAAAGAGGAGACGTGGGTCCCCCTTCCCATGGCAATCCCCCAACTCGCTGGTGGATACTGACTGCTAGGGATGCCGTCACTAGGGTTGGGCATCGTTTGATTTTGAACGATTTCGATTCTGATTCCAATTCCTTGTTTCGATTCCGGTTCCTATCGATTCCCGATTCCGATTCTTTCAAGACATGACATGTTTTACATGAGCCAGCTAACCACAGGTCCTACTTGATGAAATAATCTCAACTTCAACATGAATTTTAACTCTATGAACAACAACATCACCTTCACTTTGACAAAAACATGTTTTGGAGAAAAAAAAGAAAAGGACTTGCAGCACAACCAGTGTGTTTGTTTCTGACCACAACCAAAGTCTGGCAGAAGCCTCTGGGATGAGAGGCTAAATGTCTCCAACATATCCAGAAACGTCCAGCTGTTTTCGGCCAAAACTCTCAGGATGATCATGTCCAGGATGACTGAGAACTACACCTCCATGCTGCAGCAGCATTCAGTCCAAACAGAAAGTGAAACTTAAATCTAGCTGGCTGCGTCTGACTGCTGACGCTCTGTGTGTGTTTTTATTTCTTCAGTGAGACAAACACACCTCACACCATCCAGAGTTTGTTCTTTAAAGCTTCTATTAAATCCACCGTGTTGACGTCTTTTCACAAGTTTCCTCTACGCTGCAGGAGTTAAAGTTTACATTACGGAGTAAAGGTTCGGCAGACACGTTTGTTTATATTTGGCAGCTGCGCGCCAGGTGGGGGGACTCGTGCTACACACAGACAGCTGGTGTGGTCAACTCTGAAAAACGTTTATCACAATATGCAGATCACGTTTATTTTTCACGGAGATCGGCCGCGGAATCCTCTTCCGGTCGGCATTCTAGGACTCGAAACTAGGAATTGAAATAAAAAACTTTGAACGATTCCGGGAAAAATGAACTGTTGGAACCGGTTCCAATCGATGCTCGATGCCCAACCCTAGCTGAAGAAAGAGTCATATCGGGTTTTTTTGTCCTGTTGGACTCCACAGACCAAAAGGAATGCGGCCCAGGTGGTCACAGAGGAAAAACCCAGAGCATGAGAGGAGTTCGGTGAAGCCATCGAGCAAGACTTCCGTACGGCTTCGAGGAGATTCTGGTCCACCATCCTGTGCCTCAGGAGGGGAAGGCAGTGCCTACCAACACGATTTATATTGAGGATGGTGTGTTGCTGACCTCAACTCAGGACGTTGCAGATCGGTGGGTGGAGTACTTAGAAATACTCAATCCCACCAGCATGTCTTCCAGTGAGGAAGCAGAGTCCGTTGACTTTAGGTTGGGCTCTTCAGTCTCTGGTGCTGAGGTCACTGAGGTGCTCAAACAGCTCTTGCTTAGAGTTCCTTAAGGCTCTGGATGTTGTTGGGATCTGCAATATCGCGTGGACATCAGGGGCAGTTCCACTGTACAGGCAGACCGGGGTGGCGGTCCCCCTATTTTAAAAGGGGGACCGCAGGATGTGCTCCAACTACAGGGGGATTACACTTCTGAGCCTCCCTTATAAAAGTCCATTCAGGGATTGTGGAGAGGAGGGTCCGACGGATTGTAGAACTTCAGGTTCAGGAAGAGCAATGTGGTTTTCGTCCTGGCTGTGGAACACTGGACCAGCTCTCTATCTTTAGGGGGTTTTGGAGGGTGCGTGGGAGTTCGCCCAACCAATCTATTTGTGTTTTGTGGATTTGGAGATGGTGTTCGGCCACGTCCCTTGGTGACCCACTGTGGTGACGAGAGCTGAGCCAAAAGGCAAAGCTCTTGATTTACTAGCCAATCTACACTCCTAGCCTCACCTATGGTCACGAGCTTTGGGTAGTGACCAAAAGAATGAGACTACAGATACAAGCAGCCAAAATGAGTTTTCTCTGCAGGGTGGCTGGGCTCTCCCTTACAGATAGGGTGAGAAGCTCGGTCATCCGGGAAGGGCTCGGAGTAGACCCGCTGCTCCTCCAGATTACGAGGAGCCAGTTGAGGTGGCTTGGGCTTCTAGTTAAGATGCCTCCTGGCCAACCGGGAGAAGACCCAGGACACTCTGGAGGGACTATGTCTCATGGCTGGCCAGGAAACGCCTTAGGATTCTCCTTGAGGAGCTAGCTGAAGTTGTTGGGAAGATGGAAGTGTATTTGTTACAAGATTAATTGCCACTGAAGGAATAACATTAGATAATGCTGAATTGTTAAATCTTAAAATAGTTCTTAAGTGTTTGTAGTAAAAGTTTTATTGTGGAAGACAGAATTTTAACGACAAACGTGCACTTGTATATTCAATCAATCAATCAATACTTTATTAATCCCAGAGGGAAATTAGAGTTTCAGTACACACAATTCAGAGATCAGACATACATGGGCAAGACACATGACAAGAATTGGTGACTGTGGTCATTCGCAACCCGAGTTGTGCTACCTTAATAGAGATAAGCATTAATTGAGGAGAATAAGCATAATCCTAAATTTATTTTCAGTACAGTTGCTAAACTTACACAGAATCATAGCTCTGAGCCATCTATTCCCTTAGCCCTCAGCAGCAATGACTTCATGGGATTTTTTACAAGTAAAATTAATTCTATTAGAAACAAAATCTTTAGCATCCTCCCTAATGCGATTTCTTCTTCCTCAGTAAGTGAGGCAGCATCAGAGGTAACTGTAGAACCTCATCTGTGTTTGAACCGTTTTGATCCAGTTGAGCTTTCAGAGTTATCAAAAATATTAGCTTCATCTAAACCTTCAACTTGCATTTTGGATCCAATCCCAACCAAATTATTTAAAGAAGCATTTCCTTTGGTTACTGCCCCCATTCTAGATATAATCAATCTATCCTCAGTAAATGGGTATGTACCACAGGATTTTAAGGTTGCTGTAATCAAACCTTCACTTAAGAAGCCTTCTCTGGATCCAGATGAACCAATGAATTATAGACCAATATCTAACCTTCCATTTTTATCCAAAGTCCTGGAGAAAATAGTGGCCATCCAAGTATGTGAGCATTTAAACACCAATGCTCTGAGGAATTTCAGTCTGGTATTAGAGAGTATCACAGCACTGAAGCTGCATTAGTGAGAGTTACAAATGATATTCTCATGGCCTCAGATAAGAATCTTGTGTCTGTTCTAGTCTTGTTAGATCTCAGTGCTGCCTTTGACACAGTTGATCACAATGTTCTTGTAGGAAGACTTGAACATGTTGTAGGGATCAAAGGAACAGCGCTAGGCTGGTTTAAACCCTACCTGTCTGACAGATTTCATTTTGCAAATGTAACTGACAAATCGTCTTCATACTTTAGGATTACTTGTGGAGTACCACAGGGTTCAGTGCTTGGACCAATTATTTTTACTATATATATGCTCCCGATTGGTAAAATCATTAGACAGCATGGGATAAACTTCCACTGTTATGCTGACGATACTCAGCTATATTTATCCATTAACCCTGATGAACCTAATCGGTTGGGTAGATTACAGGCTTGTCTTGAGGACATAAAACATTGGATGACTCTAAACTTTTTGCTTTTAAATCAAGACAAGACGGAAGTTCTCATCTTTGGACCAGAAATCCAGAAAAGGAAATTGCTTAGTCAATCACCTGACCTGAATGGCATTACATTGATCTCCGAGAACAAAGTAAGGAACCTTGGTGTTATCTTTGACCAGGACATTCAAATCCCAGGTTAAACAGGTTTGCAGGATTTCCTTTTTCCACCTTCGGAATATTGCTAAGATTAGAAGCATCCTTTCCAGGAGTGATGCTGAAAAACTAGTTCATGCATTTATTACATCAAGACTGGATTACTGTAATCCATTACTCTCAGGAAGTCCAGAGAATGTAGTTAAAAGTCTTCAGCTTGTCCAAAATGCTGCAGCTAGAGTTCTGATGAGAATTAAAAAGAGAGATCATCTCTCTCCTGTCTTAGCTTCCCTACATTGGCCACCTGTTAAATTCAGAATAGATTTTAAGATCCTTCTTCTCACATATGAAGCTCTTAATAATCAAGCTCCATCATACATCAGTGATCTGATTGTTCTACGTTCCTAACCGAGCACTTCGCTCTCAGACTGCAGGTTTACTAGTGGT